AGTTAACTAAAATTTTAATTGTATTAATCAAACAAAAAAAAATAATTTTAAATATCAAGTAATTTAGAATTGAACAAAATATGTTTATCTCTAATGATGAACCATGTAGTGAGAAAAATGAAGAGAGAGAGTTTTAAATTATCATTTTTTAATTTTATAATAATTTATTTAATTAATATTAATTAATAAAAATTAAATATTTTAATTGTTACATCATAAAAGATATGATAGATATTATAGAAATTTTTTATATAGATATAACAAATTTTGTTAGAGTATTTTCATTTATATAAGATTTAAAATTGAATCTTCACTAAATAAAAAAGAAAAATCTAATAGATGTACCATAAAAGAATTCCCCAAGCTTAACAGTGTATAATTCTTCGTTATAAATTTAAAGAGCAGTGAGAATCAATTTTGAGAGTAAAAACCAAGATATTTTGAAAATATTTGAATTAAGCAAATATTCGACGAGTTTATTACTAAGTTCTAGAAAAATAGAGACAAAAAGTTTAGGTAAAAATTTGAGATATGACAACTTATACTTCAGATTTTATTATTATTATTATTATTTGTGATTTTATCTCTTAACTTAATCTCTTATATTTTATCATTATATTTATTTATTTATTTTTTACTGTCCTCATTTTTTCTCTATGTTTAATAATTTATTTGTTATTAATTTTTCTAGCTTTATCCTTATTTTCTCAATGATATCCTTTTTTAGTCACTTTTTGCTTCTTTATTAATTATTATATATTATTTTCTCTCTCTCCATGTATATTAGAATTATTATAATTTTTTGACAGTTTAGATTTAAAAAATATTAACATTTTTAAGTTCCTCAAAGTGGCTTTTTCTTTATTTTTAAGTCTTTTATAAGTACTCATATTTACAAAACGACACTTTCAAAATAATATAATGTGTATTTATGCTAAGCACATTATATAATTAAAGTAGAAGTTAGATTAAATATTTTAGTAAGTTGTTTTCAACTTTAATAATATGAAAATGTAGATGTCAGATTATTATTATTATATGGTAATTGAAATGGAATTTGAGAACGATTAGTAAGAATTTTGATATGATTAGAGTATTATTAAGTATTATTATATGAAGAATTAACTTAATAAAGAATTATATGTATTGTGCTTATTAAGAAATTTAAAAGTGTATTAATTTAATTTAATTGAGTTTTAATTTTCTAATGAATTTTTGGTATATTGGGTATTTATTTAACAATTTAAAGAGATTTTTAAAAAAACCCATTTGGTATTTATTTGGAATTTATTGAAGATTTTAACTATTTTTATAATATAATAAGTTATAATTGAACTTGAATTTAAACTATTATGTGATTAAAGTTGTCGAACGAATTTGGACTTGAAGTATATACCAAGGGAAGGTATTGGGTTTATTTTTTTTTTCTTCTGAATTAATTTCTAAAATGAAATTAAGGTATTGATAATTAAAATTATAATTATTTATTGAAGATTTAAAAATGACAATTAGATATTTATTTGATATTTTAGAGGGATTTTAAAAGGTTCATTGGGTATTTATTCAAGATTTATTGAAGATTTTTTTAACAATTTTTATTATATAGTAAGGTATAATTGTATTTAGATTTTAAAAAGCTTATTAGGTATTTATTTAAGAATTTAAAGGGCTAGGTGGGTATTTATTTAGTATTTATTGAAAGATTTTAAAAGAATTATTGTGTATTTATTCAAGATTTATTAAAGATTTTAATAATTTTATAATATAGTAAAACATAATTGAGTTTATATTTTAAAAAATCATTAGGTATTTATTTGGTATTTATTTAAGATTCTAAAAGATTGATTGGGTATTTATTTATTCCCTTGATTCATTTTTTAGTAGTACTAATTTGATTTTTTTAGATATAAATTTTAGATAAAAATTTAACAACTAATATAAACAACAATTAAATTTGTTTTTCCTATATATATGTAGTTCTTTTGAAATATTTTTATTTGATAAAAATATTTCGATTGCCATTTATATAATATATTAAATTTTCATCTACAATTCATGTATGAAAAGTCAAAAAAATCAAACAAGGACTATTAAAAATAAATGGAGGGAGTAGTATTTATTGAAGATTTTAACTATTTTTATAATATAGTAAAACATAATTGAGTTTGGATTTTAAAAAGTCATAGTATAAGTTTACTTGGTATTTATCTAAGATTTTAAAAGGTCTATTGGGTATTTCTTTAATATTTATTGAAGATTTTTTAAGAATTTTAAAAGGCTCATCGAGTATTTATCCAAGATTTATTGAAGATTTTAACAATTTTATAACATAGTAAAATACTGGCATGCTTACTTACCATGAGTGTGTCTCTGCTCAACAAAGAGTTTTTTAGTTTGCAATTTAAATTGTATTAGATTATAATAAAAATTATTAGACAAGAAGAGCCATTCTTATGTCAAGAAATTCATTCTCATTCAATACTCTATATTTTCACAGTTCAATGTAATCTATACCATATAATTTTTTTAGACATAAAGTAAAGCACAAACCCCAATAGTTTGATCTAGATGTCATGTTATGGAACTACTAGAAAACGCAGTATAATTGACAGAAAATATTGTCGATTATTCAAGTATTTCTGTCATTATATCTTAATCGACAAACATAATCGACAACAATTTTTGACGTAAAAACAACAGTCGAAAATGACTATAATCGACAGAAATTTTTTTTGTCGAATATAATTATATAATCGACAGCCATTGACTGTCGAATATA